TTGCCTTTAATTCACACATTGTAATATCTTAAAGGAGAGCTTTTGTGTTTTATTTTCTCAAATAAGTTTCTTTTAGGACATGAAAATTTAATACTTCATAGCCTCTCAAATCTATCAGAGAGAACTTCATGGCAAATTGCTTTGACATACATTCTCTCCTTTCTTGGTATAGCCTTGTGACTAGGTGTTTATATTCTTATTTCATTTTTACTAAATAAAAAACGGAGGCCTAAAGAAGCTAAGAGACACCTGGAAGCCATGTGTTCATAGGTACCACGTGTAGAGCCAGAGTTAGAGTGGAAATATTTGGGTTCCTCCATTAGTTCTCTCAAAATTCAAATAAACAAATCGGCCACACTACCGATGGCCAAATCACATGGGATATTTATGCCGAGTAATAATAATTAACATTGTGAGCATTTACACATGCCAGGCCCCACCTAAGTGCTTAACATGTGTTAGCTCATTTAATCCTTACCCCAATTATGTGGAAACAGAGGCACAAAGAAAGTCGGCTAAGGAAAACACACCTAGTAAACTGTCAAACTGGGATGTGAGCCGGCCAGTCTGCACTGTGTCTCCTTAAATGTTATTCTCTTTGTTTGTGTTTCCATGACAGGAACAGATTTAATGAAACAAATGTAAACTGATAATGTCTTCTAAACTACACTTCCTATCAGTAAACTTAGAGAAAGTTATCCTTGAACCCTGTAATTCTGTGAAGTACTTTAATGGAAATTGAATTTGTTTCCACATTCTAAGAGGTGATCTTTATTAATGGTCACTCATTAGTGTTTTATATTTAATATCTGAATAGAATTTTACTGCCTGGAAAATCCCTTCCTATTCATTATATAATTTAGAATTACTGAACTTCATAACATAAATGAATTTAGGGGCCAACCCCAACATTTTAACCGACAAAGACCAAATTTTAGAGAGGTTCCATGACGACCTCAAAGCACTTTGTTAGAGTGGCTTAACCAAGCTCAAACCCAGATCTTCCAAGGCCATTCCCACACTGAAGAAAAATGTGAGCATAATAAATGAGTATAGTGTGTGTGTGTGTGTGTGTGTGTGTGTGCACGTGCGCATGTTGTCTACTGACTGTTCCTTAAAAAAATAATACTTGTGGAGAAGCATGAGCTAGTTAGCTGGCTTGCAAGTCTCCAAGGTAAGGCTGTCATTCCCCCTGAAAGACGATCAACTCCTAGATGAAAATCCTAATGTATTTAATGGCAAATAGCCAAATGAAGAGATTTAATAGTCCAAATACTTTTGGGAAAGTTTCTAGGTATACGTATGTATTGGATATTTTTAAATAATTAACTCCTTTTAAAAGTTAAGTCTTAAATAAGTAACAGATTTGTTTATTCATTGATTTGTTGCTTATTCTAATAATTACCAGCGAGCTTATTTATGTGATGGAAGAAAGCCCAGCTGGTAAAGACCACCAAATTACATTTTGTTTTCTTTTCTAAAACTCAATCTGATTGGTGCTCTAACTCAGGAGGCAAGATGCTTTTAGGAAAATCATTTAGATATATATTTTATTCTATCACAGTTGAAGAGACACAGAGAAGTTTCTGACACACATGCTGGTCCCATATATGCAAGACTTGGATTTAGTGCTATTTAAATAATTTTTCATCTTATGCTTAGGGCATTTCATGTGGCTTTGGTTCATTGAATGGAATAATGTAAAATTAGAGTTTTAAATTATCCCTGGAGGCCTACAATTAGCAAACATTCTCAAGAAAACTAAGCAACTAGAGTAAATCATTATTTCCTCTGAATTTTATTTATTTTTCTTAAATTTCATGTCATAAAATCCCATAAATCATTTTATTATATCTTAGCCCCAATTTGAATCCACTAAGTTATCAGTAATTATTTAAAGTATGCTTAATCAAATAGCAATAAAAATACATAATATTTTAGGCATTATAAAAATTTCTGACATTAATCAAAAGGAGACTATTTGTTCCTCCCAGTGATTTATACAGAAAACTGTCCTAATATTCTGTACATTCAAAAGTGTGGACAAAATAAAGTTAAACCTTTTCCTTTAAGTCATAATAGAAACATCTGAGACTGTTTGGTCTGCTGATGGGAGCCCACCTTGCTTAAAGATAGTTTATGAAATAGAAGGAGTGAAAAATAGAAGTGTATATTTGCTGTTTCTGGTTAATATCTGTACCTATTCTAAGTTCTTGAAGAAGAAGAAGAAGAAGAAAAAGTTCTTAAGATCATAATAAATTCAGGTTCCCACTTTCTTTTTTTCCGAATTTAAAGTCTATACTGAGAGACGTTCTAAAGTGTCCATGCACTTTAAACACTCAGTGTATAAAATATCATAAAATAGCCTGTGAGCTTCACCTGAGCACTTACTATGAGCCTCCTCTGGGTCCTACCACAGTGCCTGGCTCATAGTGATACTCAATACAACTCCATTGGCTAAACTGATTAATGCCTTCTTCACAGAAGTCTTCCGGGATATTCTGTCTTATACTCCAAGAGCAATTCATTTCCAACAAACATATGTTGCATTCTATTGTATTGTGGAGTTTCTGCATCCATCTGCCATTAGGCATAATAATCATATGTAATTTATTTAGCTAACACATGGACTTTATATAACTCTGTACCCTCCCTAGCATATCATCATGAAACATATGCTCTGGTGATACCTAATACCCTTTTTCTATACTGTTTTCCACTCTGATGTTACCTTACTGCCTTGGTATCTCTACCAACTGCTCTATTCCCCTGCCTATTAACAGAAAAATGATTTCTCATCATTCAATTATCCTAAGATATAAATTGGTTTTCCCAGGTATTTGCAGTTAATCTTTTAGTCATTATTGGGAATGAAAATCATAGACTTTTCTGTAGGGATTTCTGGTCAAAGTAAGGCAGGAGACAGACAGAAAAGGTAAAAAGCATTTATTTATATCCTATTTTGGAGTAGCCTGGTGGGCCTCATGCTAGCTTGAGGTCACACTCACCCAGAAAGATAATTAGATAAATAGATGCTACACTTCCTCCACCACCCTGAGCTCCACATAAACCCATACATACAAACCCTTCCGCAAACCTAAAATCTCCAGGGGCACCTGGGTGGCTCAGTCGTTAGACGTCTGCCTTCGGCTCAGGTCATGATCCCAGGGTCCTGGGATAGAGCCCTGCATCGGGCTCCCTGGTTGGCGGGAAGCCTGCTTCTCCCTCTCCCACTCCTCCTGCTTGTGTTCCTTCTCTTGCTCTGTCTCTCTCTGTCAAATAAATAAATAAAATCTTTAAAAAAAAAAAAACCTAAAATCTCCAGAGATGGCCCTGAACATCTGCACATCAGAGAAAATCACAGTGATACATGCTGATTGTTGAGATTTATTGTATTAGACCCTTTAGTATGGTATTTCATTTGATCTCAACCTATGAGGAAAGTACTATTACCCCATTTTACAGATGAGAAAATTGAGGCTTAAAGCAGCTATGTATCTTGCTCAAGGCCACTAGACCGTTTGCCAGAGAGCTAGAATTTGATTCCAGATCACTAGGACTTTAAACCCATTTCCTTTTCAATATTATTACCACTCAAATCTGATGCCACTGAAACACTGATCCTGCAAGTAACACTGAAGAACATGGTTAACACCAGCATGGGTCTATTAGTCAGAATCATACACGTTGATTTGTTTCCCCACTTTTCTGAGTAGTATAAAGTATTCATATTGGTTATTAATTCATTTACTATATATTAGACTGAAGAAAGTTTCATAATCTTGGCTACAGATTGAAATCACCTAGTTCTATTAAATGGCCCGATGGCCTGATGGCGTCTCATTAAAGTAGAATTTCTAGGGTTAAGACCAGGGCATCAATAAGCTAAGCTTTCCAGGTAATTCCTTATGTGGCCAAAGTTGAGACCTTATGGGTTAGACCAATTGTTCTCAACTCTGGCTACATGATAGAATCTTCTGGGCAATTGCTTAAACTTACTGATGGCTTTCCCCACTCCCCATTCTGATTTATATAACCAGTTTATAAAAGTTGACTACAGGAAAAAAATAAGATTTGAGTAACATACTTCTCAATGGTTGGGCTTTAGTTAATCAAGGTTTTATTACAGTTCTGGGTATCTGGTGGCATTCAATAAATGTTAAATGGAGGTCCTAATCCCACAGCAGAGTCAAGAAGAATAAAGTATGCTCCCTCTTGGAAGTAAACTGTTAGTGTATTTGAAATAATTATCTTGGCAAACTATCACTTTCTGAAAATCGTCCTCCTAGGTGATTTACCTCAAATGGTAAACCTTGTATTTTAAGAAAGTACTATATTTCAACTATATTTTTTCACCATATTAAGCACATACATATCTTACCTCACTTTCATAATTCTCTTCAAGGAAATAGACAGGAAACAAGATTAAGAGACTGAGGATAAGATTTAAAGCAGTCTCCCACTTGGAAACATAAATGAGGCTATTGTGCCTATGAGCCTGAAGAATACCACTACTTTGTAAAATAGAGCAATGATACTTTCTGCTTTTGTAATGGCAAATATATACACAAAGGACTCCTAGCCCAATAACTAGAACAAAAATGAACTGTCTCATGAAACAGTTATGGAACTAACAAGATATTTACATACGATATCTTTTTTAGATTTCAGGAACTAGTAACTAAAATAACAAAAATCTTCTTTTCAGCATGAAGTTATTGATGATTTATGATGGCAGAAATTCTCATTAAGAAAACCCCCTAAACTTGATTGTATAAATAATTAATCAGCATGCTGCATGTTTCAATGTGCATTAATAAAGCTAGGTGTCATATTTAATCCCTCAAATGTAAACTAATGCAACAAACAGCAATTTTTTGAAGATAAATATTCTTGGTTTAAAAAATTTAAAAAATATAAAGCTTATTTAATTTGACCTTCCCACTTCTTATTTAATTCTTCTACTTGTTTTTTTTTCTTTTCTTTTCTTTTCTTTTTAGGACCACCTCAGAAAATAGTGTCACCTAAACAAGAACATGAAGATAGGAAACACGACAAAGTCACAGATAAAGGAAGTGAAAGTGGGACTTCCTGTAATGAGCTCTCCACTTCCAGCTGTGACAGCCACTCAGAGGCGAGCACTCCCCAGGACAACCCACCCAGTGCCCAGCAGGCAACAGCTCACCAACCCAACACCTTAACATTGGATCGTCCTTCCAAAAAAGCACCTGTGCAATGGATGCCCCCACCAGACAAACGCAGAAACAGTGAACTCTTTCAGACACTCATCAGCAAGTCCCGGGAAACAAATCTATCCAAAAAGAAAGTCTGTGAGAAGCTAAGTGTGGAAGAAGAAATGAAAAAGTGTATTCAGGATTTTAAAAAAATCCACATTCCAGATTATTTTCCAGAGCGCAAACGCCAGTGGCAGTCTGAACTGTTGCAGAAGTATGGCTTATAGTAATCGTCACATTCCTGCGGTGTTTCGATGATGTTCGACATTTACTGCAGTGTCACCACCTGGTTATATCCTAATGATGGTCAGTGTGATTCTTGCTGCTCTCCCTTTTTGTGAACAGTGGATGTGGGACAGTATTTTATTTCATTCTTTTTTGTTGTTGTTGTTGTTGTTTTTAGAAATATGATTTTGAAAAACAGAAAAAATAATAAATGTTTATTCAAAATGGCATATCTGATTCAAACCATTCTGCAAGAATGAAAGTAAAATGTGCATGATCAAGAAGCTTTAAATCTTGATTTTTGAACTGAGGTCAACTGGATATGTTTGTCTTTTTGTAACTCACCAAAAACAAGTCATCGTATCTCTCCAACAAAAATGACAATATGGATGAAGCAACATCAAATAAAATGTTAGATGATGGTTTTGGGACCCAAATCCAAACCTGTTTAAATGTTAATGCAATAAAACAAGTTATTATTTTTGCATGAACACAATGTAACAAATAAATCACAAGACATAGGGAAGATCTGTTTGTTGCTTGGAAAGAAAAAAAATTACAAAAAAATAAAGCAAAAAAAAATGTTTCAGGCAAAGCCTATAAATGTAAACTGTCTAGGAGATTGATTTTATTTGTTCTGGATCTGTGATATTTTTGTGTATGTGTATGGTGTTCTGTATGTTAAGATGGTGTAAATATGCCTTATGCTCTTGTGTTATGGCACTGACATTCATCTATTAATGCTAGTCATGATTATTTCTGTGAAATGAGTCCTTACATCAGGCTGTGAAAATTGGTATAATGATGCTCTGAAAGATCCTATTATCATGTTAATCAAAATAATTGAGGAAAATGGTAAAGAGCTTTATGTATTTATTTAAAAAAGGAAAATATATTAAACTTCCTTGATTTCTGTTGACTCTCTTTGAAAATACTCAATTGTCACACTGTCTTCCATGTTCCCTTAAAATCCCAGGCTGGAGAATGATATGTTCAACTGTAATGTTGACAAGTTAGAGTTTTAACATAATTCAAAATGGGTATAGAGTCCAATCCAGATAGCTGTGGGATTGATTAATAAATCCTTAACCCACAAGAGTAAAAGACTTCATCTGAGAATACACTAAACTTTTATTTTAGCTAACAACCAGCATGAAAGCTTCTCCAAAGACAATTGGGAAGTTACCTCCTACAAATTAAGAGACAAAAATATCAATAGCAAGCTGAAAGGTTAACCTGAATGACAAGAGATTTCTTCTTGGTTGCATATATGGAAACGAGCTTTCTTACCATAGGCTACACAGTTTTTGCCTCACCATCTCTATAGAAAGAAATACATAATATCATGAAATTTCACTAACAAAGAGGATGAAAAAGAAGGTAAAAATATCTTCAGGAATTATAGAGCTCAATCTCTGTGGTGGGTTAAAACAGAAGTCGAGCAGTACTTGTGGTATTTCTTTAATAATATAGGGAGATAAGCATTGTTAACTCAAAAATGTTTTAATCTACATACATTTTTTAGGTGTTCTTAGATTTCTCAATCTACTATTATTCAAAATACCATCTACAGTGGCTGTTAAAGAAAACCCAGATATGTGATTGACCTTGAACTACCTATCAGGCTTTAGGGAAAGAGCTACTCTCAAATTCTGCATTTCCGTTTGGGAAGGTTGGGAGTCTTGCCATGGCCTGATGTAGCTGTAACATGCTGGTTAAATGAATACAGTTGGTGGTTGGTTTGTCATAGTTCAAATCCCACCTTTACCATTTATGACCTGTGTGATCTTAGGGATAATGGGGGGTAATATTAATATAGAGATTAGGTAACAGAGGAAAAGCATCACTACCACTCCTGGAGATAGAGGGAAAAGGGGAAGCAGTGGTCTTACTAAAATCCAGGAACCAAGGCTAACAGATGGAGAACTTAGAATACAGAGGAACAAGCTGTCCAGTGAGAACTGTAGCCACTAGAGAGTCAGTCACTTCCACAGATGCCTTGCAAAACAAAAAGTAAGGGGAGGGGATGCATTATCTCAGGTTCCCAGTATCTCACCAATGTTCTCCATTGTTCCAACATGAATGGAAACCAGTTGGTAAAGGAGCCTGGGAAATGTAATCTATAGAGGTAATCCCCTTGTGATACAAAGCCCAGCAGTGAAGGACAGGGAATAGATCTGAAAAACACTTCACACCCTAGTCTGTTCTTTCCCAACGTAGAACTTCAAATAGAATTGCAATGGCAAGAATTTAGTACATGTGGACTATTTCAGATCTTTATATCTCTACATCACAAAAGAAGGAGTGTCTATCCTTAGTAGATCGGAATCTATTTCAGTAATAGCCTATTGAACACTTACCATACACCAAGTGTTTGGCTCAAAGGTTAACAACACATTCAAGAAATATGAATTACCAGCTGTTGCCCTTGGGGAGAAACTTATGGTCTGATTCTCCCAAACCATTATGCTTTCACCAGAGGCTAGAATCTGGCTGGCCCCATTTGGGGTTACAAGGGTATCAAGGAAGGCACCTGGAATGGAGGCTCTTCCCTAAACAAAAGGAGACTCCAGATTTAAAGATGAGTTGGGCTAAAACTGGTGTATAAATCTCCTTTTCCAAAGAATCAGGAGATAAAATCTGGAGAATCACCAAAAGCCGAAAGTGCTGGAAGCTGATGCTGAAGTTGAGTATTTATGGAGAGTAAATGCATTTTTTAGCTCACATATACACTTTTTGAATATTTATGGAGTTCACATGGTATACCTTTGTTTGCTACACGGTAGACACTCAACTTGTGACCTGATGTCTTATTGTTGTTATTTTAAAAGGAAACATATTGAGTACTAAAATGAGAACAGGAAATAAAGTTAATTGTGAGATATTCAATTTTAGAAAAGTAAACTAGACGTATTTTTCCCTATTCCTCCTACTAAATATAACTAAAAACCCTAGGCATTATATATAAAAATGCTTAAGAGGCTCTGAAAGGCTGAGAGAAGAAGAAAAGCTAGGTAGGGATATTGGGCCCCAGAGAACAATATGGTGATGAGTTTCCTGGGTTTTCTTTTTACCTCATAAACCCCAGCCTTGGAGCTGAAGAAGTACCTGGTAACCCAGAAAAAGTAACAGGTGCAGACACACACACACACACACACACACATCTTGCTCTCTCTAGCCAGGAAAAGGACAGCCTAGCAACTTAGCAAAACTGAAAACTTTTAGATAGTAACTGCTATGCTATTTCAGTTTGAAGGTAAATGGACACAACTGCATTCCATAGTAATAAGGCTCCCCACTTTTTTAATAAAGATTTACTTACTTACTTACTTATTTATTTATTTACTTATTTATTTATTTGAGAGAGACAGAGAGAGAGCAAACGGGATGAGGGGCAGTGGGAGAGGGAGTGAGAAAATCTCAAGCAGACTCCCCACTGAGCATGGAGCCCAGGACCCTGAGCCAAAATCAGGAGTCAAACGCTTAACCGGCTGAGCCACCCAGGCACCCCAGGCTCCCCACTTTTTTTAGACTCTTTTAGAGTGGTTTTAGTTCACAGCAAAATGAGAGGAAGTTACCGAGATTGCGTGTGTTCCCCCTGCCCCACACATTCCTAGCTTACTCCGCTATCAACATCCCCCATCAGACAGGTGCATTTGTTACAATCGATGATCCTACATTGCCACATCTGATCTTTTTACTATCTACATTGTTTTGCCTTTTCCAGAAGGTTATATAGTCAGAATCATATAGTACATAGACTTTTCAGATTAGCTTCTTTAAGTTAGTAAAATATATTCAAGTTTCCTCCATGTCTTTTCATGGCTTACTAGCTCATTTATTTTTAGTGCTGAATTATATTCCATTGTCTAGATGTCCCACAGTTTATCCATTCAACTTACTGAAAGACAACATGGTCACTTCCAAGTTATGGCAACTATGAATAAGCTGCTGTAAACATCCACGTATAGGTTTTTGTGGGGACATAAGTTTTCAACCCTTTGGATAGATGCCAAGGAGTGTGATTGCTGGATCATATGGTAAGAGCATATTTGGTTTTGTAAGGATGGATCCATCAAATGGTCTTCCAAAGAAGTTGTACCATTTTGCATTTCTATCAGCAGTAAATAAGAGTTCCTATTCTTTCATATCCTCAGCAGCATTTGGTATTGCTAGTATTCCAGATTTGGGCCATTCTAATAGGTTTGTAGTAGTATCTCATTGTTGTTTTAATTTGCATTTCCCTGATGACATGTAAAGTGAAACATCTTTTCATATGGTCTTTTGCCATCTGTATCACTTCTTTAGAAGGTGAGATGTCTGTTAGGGTTATTTGCTCAGTTTTTAACGGGGTTGTTTGTTTTTTATTGTTGAATTTTAAGAATCCTTTGTATATTTTGGATAACAGTCCCTTATCAGATATTTATTTTGCAATTATTTCTCCTAGTCTATGGCTTGTTTTATCATTCTCTTGACATTGTCTTTTGCAGAATAGAAGTTTTTAATTTTTTTAAAGATTTTATTTATTCATTTGAGAAAGAGAGACAGAGAGAGCATGAGTAGGTGGAGGGGCAGAGGGAGAAGGAGCAGCAGACTCCCCACTGAGTGGGGAACATGATGTGGGGTTCAATCCCAGAACCCTGGGATCATGACCTGAACTGAAGGCAGACACTTAACCATCTGAACCACCCAGGCTCTCCGGAAGTTTTTGATTTTTAAAAAAATTGAAGTCCAGCTTATTAATTATTTCTTTCATGGATATTGTATTTGGTGATGTATCTAAAAAATCCTTACCATACCCAAGGTTATCAGGTTTTCTTCTATGTTATCTCTAATCTAGGAGATTTGTAGTTTTTCATTCTACATTTAGGTTTGACATCTATTGCTTTTTGGTCTGTGATTCATTTTGAGTTAATTTTTTGTGAAGGGTGTAAGGTCTGTGTCCAGATTCATTTTTGCATGTAGATGCTCCGTTGTTTCAGAACAATTTGCTCCATTGTAC